GTCCAATATGAGTGTCATCTTCCTAGTTGACCCGCATGTGCAAAACCTTTGCACGAAGTATCCATTTATTTTGTCTTTGATACCACTGATGTATCTACATCATGAGTTTGACAAAATATACTTCCTTGGCCACGAAATTGTTCATAAATAGCATAATAATTGGTTTCACATCACTTTTAAGTTCAAAAATTGACGAGACATAAATTAGGAAGTCCAAAATGAGTGTCATCTTCCTAGTTGACCCGCGTGTGCAAAACCTTTGCCTGAAGTATCCAGTTATTTAGTCTTTGATACCACTGTTGTAACTACACCATGAGTTTGACAAAATATGCTTCCTTGGCCACAAAATTGTTCATAAATGGCATAATAATTGTTTCCACATCAATTTTAAGTTGAAAAAAGTATGAGAAGTAAATTAGGCAGTCGATGACTATTATGATGGAACAAGTCAATGTACCTTGTTGTGCATAATTTGAAGGTATTTATTGGGCACGACAACAAGATTACTCTGGTTCACAAAATCTAGAATTCAACTGAGATTAGATTCGTTAGCCAAGATGAAGAATGAAAGAAAGGAAGAAATTTTAAGTGAAATTGGAGTTAGGGTTTATGAGAGAAAACGAAGGTCTAGCGGCACAAGGATTTGATGGCGGTGGCCTCTTCAACATAATTCCTCGACCATGGCATAATAGTGAAAAGGTTTGGATATATGTGATTGTGAGAGTGAGTATTGAAATTGCAGAGCGCATAGATGGTGGTTTTTCACGTTGAATGATGCTTCAAAATGCTGAAGCGTTCGGCTCCAACAACTGCGAACACAATTCCAGTGAATGGTTGAATGCTCCTTTGTCGGTGAACGACCGGTTGTGGTCAACGAAGATTTGTGGGTGGGAGGATCTTCTTTGGTTCTCGTGGGTTCTCTATCCGAGATTTCAAATTTTTGAAACCCCAAAATAAAGCTGCCTAAATGAAAACCCTGCAACCCTCTGACTTGCATTTCCACATCATTTTCCTTTTTCAAAGTTGTTTTTCATGTGGACCAGTCACATTTTGACACATGACCGTGTCAAAATGTTGTCAAAATATGTTATCAAAGTGATTATCCTATTAATTATCTTTTATGAAAATCATAACATTTTTTCTTGTAAAAGCGTCCAATTCTGTCACCTCTTTATTAACATACTAAAAATATATATTGAAGACAAAAAGAGAAAGTAAAATAGTTATCCATGGATGAAATTATGAATTTATCTTTTCTTTTATTTTTTTTACTCTGCATATATAATATAATTATAGTATTCAAAATATTGTAATAAAATATAATTAAGTGTAAGTATGATTATAATTATATTTCATTTAAATAAGTAATGTTAATTTTTATTTTAATAATTAATTATTTTTAGAAAATATCTGTTTTTCTTTTCTTTTGCTTAACATCTATGGAGTATTGGTACAATACGTTATTTTTTATTTACTTTTTCTTTCGGTAAAATAATAAAGTGAAAATTTGATATATATATATATATATATATATTTATATTTATATTTACATTAGAAGATATGGAAATTATACTTGTTAAATACGCTTTAGTTGAGTCTAATAAATTAAAATTAGATGCTAATTAAATTCATTTTATATTTTGGATTTGCTTAAAACGTACACAGTAAACCTTTTTATATCTTCATTCAATTTCATATGTAAAATAAGTTATTAACTTTTATGATAATTAATTAAAAATATTTTAAATTGATTTCTGACTAATTAATAATGCATAGACCTTTTATGTTTAATAGTCCTGTTGAACAATTTTACATTGTCCTACATAGTTATCATAGAAATCAATAGAAAATGGTACTTTTACACAAAGACTTTTTTACAGCAGTTAATACTATCTTTCATTATTCTTCATTCTCTTTTTTTTTTTCCTTTAGTAATACAAAAATTTACTTTTGTAAGAATCATTTTATTCTTATAAAATATTATTAAATGATAATTATTGGTGTCAAATACTTTTTTTTCTATAAATATAAGGTTTAATGTCTCTGTAGGTCCTTATTTTGGCCCAGAATCTCAATTAAGTCCCCTTTCTTTTTGCCGTCTCAATTGGATCCTCATTTTTGTAAAATTGGAGCAATTAAAGGTCTGCCGTCAAATTGGACAAACGACCGTTTAATTGTGCGTTACGTGGCATGGACAGTGTTTTCACTAATCTCACGTGGCATTAAAAACGAGTTTTGTTTTAAAAAATGAAGTTAAATCAGCTTTAGGAAAAGGGCACAGTGGGAAAACTCATTACGATTCCCACTTCAGTAATTGGTCTTCCCCTTTCCTTCTCACACACAACCAGAGTGGGGGTGGCGCTTCGGGAGGCGGAGTGTGAAGCTGCGCTTCTCCTCAAGTGAGTCCTGCGCGGTCTCAACGTGGTGCGTCCATGTGACGCATTGGCCACGGAAGGCGTCGTGGACGGTGTGGTTCGGGGCGACGGCGAAGGAGATGCAGTTCAAGGAAGGCGAAGGAGATGCAGTTCCGTGTTTCATTCGTTAAAGTTCTGGTTTTTATATTGTTAATTAATCTCTGGAGCATTTATCTCCCTCATCCAAGCTTTTCTGATGTTCCATCATCATGCTGTGAGTTAAAGGTGTGTTACATTGAACTTAAACAAAACCCCGTTTCTGTCCACGAATATCAAGTAATAAGTCTTACCATCTCAGGGACACTTGAAATCAAGTTATCTGATAAGAAATTTGCATGAATGATGATAAGCAATTTGCATGAATGATGGGACCCCTTCCAGTACTCATATCTCTAGTTCCCATCTAAGTCTAAAGCCACAAATGCTGCAATGATGTGGAAGATCATCAAATAATCCACTAATTACAGATGAATGGAATTCTCGTAACACTGCTTCAGGACACCGGTACAAGAACATACAGACGATGACATGGTTGACTCATCATAAGCCACTTGGTTCAATCCCAAGTCCTGACCTTTCCTAGATGAATCAAATCCCTAATTCCCAAATGAATCAATCTGCAGAGAAAACAGATGAATCTAAATCCCTAATTTCAATTTAAAAAAAAAACCCTAATCTGAAACTCAACCAAGAACGTGATCCCCACCACCCACGAGAACGGCCATTGAGATGCCGAAACGAACCCTCCCTCCTTGCACCACGAAGCGGACCGACCAACGTCCTCGTGCAGTCGCCGCGACCTTGCTGCTCCATCGATTTGTTATCGTCGCGCCTCCGCTGCCCCTCCACTGCCTGTGCTCGAAAACGCAGAATATTCTCTCCCCCAACGTTGAGTTTGTTTACGTTAAAGGAAAAAGGGAAGAAGCTTCAAGCTTCTGGAGTTTTGCTTTTAACTGGAACAGAGAAGAGATGGGAAAGAGTTTTCCCTTACGCGACCCTGGGGCTGCACTTAAATTTTTACATTTTCTCCACTTTGCCCTTCCCTAAATCTGATTCAATCCAAATTTTTAATACAAAACTCTTTTTTAATTCCACGTGTGATTAGTGAAAACACTGTCCATGCCACGTAACGTACAATTAAACGACCGTTTGTCCAATTTGACGGCAGACCTTTAATTGCTCCAATTTTACAAAATTGAGGATCCAATTGAGACGGCAAAAAGAAAGGAGACTTAATTGAGATTCTGGGCCAAAATAAGGACCTACAGAGACATTAAACCTAAATATAATTATCTTACAGGTGATAATGTAAAACTATTACATTATAGTAGACTTTCTTTGTTAAAGTTTAACCATGGACGTCTACATTCTAAATTTGGAATTCAACTTTTTTATATTACCTTGTTAAATCTTCAAAATATATTGATTAACATTGATGTTTCAAAATATATTTAACATGTTTTTAATACTATTGTGAAAATGGATTGAAATTTATAAGTTATCTCGGTCCACCACAAATTCAAATCGAATTAGTTAAAAAACTTTGAGAATCGAGTTTATCCGGATTGAACCTATAGTGAGTCAGTTAGCTCATCAATCCACCTAATTTTTCTAATAATTATTTTATGTTGGATTAGTCATTTTACAAAATATCGAAAAGAGACTTCCGTAGAATTATTTTTGTATGGAATAATTAGGTAACATGAAAAGTTCACAAATCTATACTTAATAACTTAAATTTTATGCAAAAATAATATTGAATCCTTATGAAATTACTAAAAATTTTGTTGAAAAGATTTTATGATCTTCTGTGCGAATAAAATCTTATGTTTGATTGATCATAAATAAGTAAGTCGAATTAGATTGATTCACTAAATAGTCAATATGTAATAAGTCTTACCCGATTATATTGAATAGTCCGTTTTGACAACACCATTTTTTAATATACTGGATAAATATGAAAACTCAATCAGGACTAGTTAATTCTTACATAACAAAATACTCAAATTCAATTTAAATATGATAATAATGTAATATTTTATAATATTATTAAATTATACATGTTAGAAGTTATCCAATACAAATAAATAATAGAAACATTCATAAATTTATTATCTTACGATTTTAATTAATATTATTAATTATTTTTATAAAAATTTATTTTGAATTTATTACTATCAATTTTTTTCCTTTTAAAAACCCTAAGAATATATCAAAATCGATAACTAACCAGTAACAACTCAGAAAAATATGAAAAGTAATATGGAATCTTTCCTATTTCTCCAATTAAAAACCTAACAAAAAAAAAATCTAAATATTGTGGTCCATCTACCATATTATTAATGTTTAGAAAAATAGAAGCTTTTGTTTGCTGTACAGAATCCAAGTCTTTGTAGTAATAATTTTACAGCACTCGAGTACACAAAGGAGTATTGTACTGTGCTATTGTAATTTGGTTTGTTTTTCCTTTTGACTCTTTTGGGGAGGAAGCAAGAAGGAGAACATGGAAGGTTGAAAATTTGGCCGACCTTGGAGTGGACCCCACAGATGGGGTGAGAAACTCCACCAATGAATGACAATGCAGTAGAATACAAAACAATACAATCAGCTTGTTCGATGTTGGGTTTATAGGAAGGAAGGAACTATGTAACGTAATCACGTTATTATTGTGAAGTCAAGTGAATTCTGAAAACAAAAACAGCTGTAATAAATCATAGAAAGAAACAAACAAAGAAACAGTGTCAGCAATAAAACAAGGCACAGAGAAACTGCAAAAGTCAATAAGGGCAACCTATGCCTTTTGGCCCCCATTCTCATTCCGTTGCTAACAAAACTGCGCAAAGACTTTCTCAACAAAACCAATACAAGACGGTTATCTAAGTCTACTCTTTCAACCATCCATCCCCTATTCCATCTTCCTATTCCTATATTATCAATCAATAAAATTTCACTCCTTATACGTTCTTCTCCTTCTTCCCTTTAATTTCTGCCTCTCTCTCGCTCTTTCCTTCCTTTAACAATTAACTAGAGACGACCCAATTGACTTCCAGATCTTTTTCCAGGGAAAAGTTTTGATTTTTGGATCGGTAAGGGAGTTTTTGGATTACCAATTCATTATCTGGGTGTTGGGAATTTCCTTTTTTTTTTTATCTTCTTTTTTTGAATTTCTTTTCTGGGATGATTGAATTGCTTCCTTTATTGATCGGCTTTCTTTTGGAACTTTTTAGTTTTGGACTTTCACTCACGTTGAGTTTTTTTTTTTTTTTTTTTTTTTTT